TCAGACTGCATTATGTGGTTAATGGATACATATATAATGCAGTTTAACTTCATTGAACTGCATTGTATGACTGACCATAAAATGAAGTTTTGCACTGTTATATTTATTTATTTATTTATTTATTTATTTATTTATTTACAGTATTTATATTCCGCCCTTCTCACCCTGCAGGGTACTCAGGGCAGATGACAGTGCACATATACATGGGAAACATTCAATGTCAATTAGACATACAACATATATAGACAGATACAGAAGCAATTTAACATTCCAGCTTTTCCAGCTTCATCATGGTATGCTCAATTCTGGCTCAATTCTGGCCACCGGCCGGGGGGCGGGGGGCTGCTGTGCTGCTTCACTGTCTATTTGTGACACCGAGTCTTTTGATGGAGTACTTTCTCATTCTTCTGCATGCTGCTGGAAGGTTTTATGGCATTGTAAATTAGTTAAATAAGTAAATTAGTTAAATAAGCCTCTCCGCATAAAGCAGTACCTAAATTTTCTATTTGACAGATGCAACTGTCTTTTGGGCTGCAAAGGTCAACAGCAAGCTAAACTAATGGCCTGAAGCTCACTCTGACCCAGGCTGGCTTCGAACTCATGACCTCTCAGTCAGTAGTGATCTACTGCAGCTCGCTACTAACTAGCTGTGCCACAGCCAGGTATGGCAATGTGAATGGGACCTTGGAGGCATCCATATGTTGTATTGTTACTTCATGGTTGTAGAAATTGGTAGTTTAGGATTCTTTGCACATGCATATGCACATGCATATTATACTTTTTTTTTTTGTCAGAAACTGGCAATGAACAAGCCTGTAACGCCTTCAACATATGTGCGCTGCCTCGGCTATAGCATGGTGAAGCAACTGGCAGATTTTGTTGATCCGCAAGAAGGATGGAAGAAATTAGCAGTAGACATCAAAAATCCCTCTGGAGATAACAGATACAACCAAATGCATATAAGGTATTGTCCTGAAATCACAGAAAAAATACTGTTTTATCATTAGCATGTATCTCAACTGGAGAATTTGGGATCTAGCATAGTCTTTTATGAGAAGAAATAAAATTAGGTATATGATTCATAATAAGTTTAGTTACCTGTTGCTTTCTTACTGAAAGGTTTGGCTTCCACAGCCTGGATTGACAGATCTCAAACTGTACTGAGAGCTGCCATATATAATGTGGCTATTATCCTTCGCAACATTTATTATAATTTCTTTTGTAGTGGATAACAATTTATTGTGTATATTGTCTTGTGTCTTTGTTTTGGAAATGAGAACAATCCTGAAAGCCAGCAGGAGTTAGTCACCAAAAATGGATGTCAGATCTTTGCCCACTACTATCACCAGTTTTGTTGCAGAAGATAGAGGAAAATACTTTATTATGTTTCAGAAAATATACATAACACATATAGTCTTATTTGACATTTTATTGTATCCAATAAAGGAGTGACTGAGATGGAATGTAGATTGAATGTGAGCCTTTCTTAATCTTAGAATTATAAGTTTCTTCATTCTTATTATCCATGTCCCTTTTCAAGAATTTGTGCTTATTTGTGCTTCCTTTTCAGGAGATTTGAAGCACTTCAGCAAATAGGAAAGAGCCCTACCTGTGAATTACTTCATGACTGGGGTACATTAAACTGCACAGTTAGTGATTTGGTGGACTTGCTGGTTAAGAATCAGTTTTTGGCACCAGCCAGACTTCTTCTTCCAGGTAATGTTGATTTGCGTGCTTTGTCTTATATGTACTTCTAATGGGATCAATCCCCTCTGTAGTTTTTCAAGATCTGTCTTGAATGAGCTTGCTTAATTTTCTTGCACAACAAGAAATGAAACGTTTTATTTGATTAATAGTTGCTAAATGCTTTCAGTATAATTGTAATGTGTGTGTAAATTATGTGTGACTCGTGGCAATTCTTGAGAAGATTTATTCAAAGGAGAATTTTCATTGTTATCCTTTAAAATAACTCTGAACCTTTTTAAAAATCAGGAAAAGAGAAACTATGCATTGACTAGATATGGGATGTGAATTTTTCCCATCAGGCCCATAAGCCATTTCCTTCTGTTTCCCTCTGATCACAGATTGAAAATAAGAAGGTAGTTAAAATTTAAATGTCCCATATAGAACTCTGGTATTACAGTTATCATGTCAGCAGTGAATTGAGAATACAGTTATAATGTATAGCGAAACCACAAACAAAAGGTAAAAACTTGGCATGCTAAATTTCCTTTGACCAGAAGCTGGCCGCTTGGAGTGCCGCTGGTGTTGCTGTAAGGAGGTCCTCCATTGTGCATGTGGCAGGGCTCAAACTGCATTGTAGTAAGTGGTTTGTGGTTTGCTCTTCTTCACACTCGCATGTCGTGGACTCCACTTTGTAGCCCCATTTCTTAATGTTGGCTCTGTATCCTGTGGTGCTAGAGCACAGCCTGTTCAGCGCCTTTTAAGTCGCCCAGTCTTCTGTGTGCCCAGGGGGGGAGTTTCTCCTCCAATCTCGGCCACTGATTGAGGTTCTAGGTTTAAGCCTGCCACTTTTGGACTCTTGCTTGCTGAGGTTTTCCTGCGAGTATCTCTGTAGATCTTAAAAAGCTGTTTCTTGATTTAAGGCAATGGCTTGCTGGCTGATATCTTTGCTGGCAGGCAAGCTTTTGCACTTGTACCTATCCATGAGTAGATATTCACAGAATTGAATTGCATTTTGTGTAGTTGGTGGGAAAATGTCAAATTAATCCGGTTTACTTTTATCCCTGAAACTTTTTCTGGATTGGAATTCCTTGTATTAGTTTATGTGAAAAGAACATACATTTGTTGTGAAGAAGCTTGTGTCTTTTTAAGCAGTGTTTTCTGCACAATGCTGTATCAGCAATCTAAAATATTCTAAACTCTGATTATTATTGTTTTGTGACAGATGCTGTGAAGGTGAAAAAAAATATTTCAGTGCCTTTACCCTTCCAAGAAACAATGTGTCTAAATGAAAAAGAAGCTCCTTTGGGGGAAAAGCAAATGGCATCTCTGCCCCCTCTCTCAGATCCAGTCAGAGAGCTTGTAATGCCAGTTTCTTGTGGTCTGAGTACTGAGGAGAGTGGCTCACTTTTGAACAGCACCAGTGAGTAGTTCTGCTCATATTCTGCTCATTAAGTCTTACCTTTCACTTCATTCCACTCCTTCTTTGAGTCTGAGAAAAGTATCTTCCTGTTGTGGGAAACTGAGGTAGAAGCAGATACATGGAAGTTTGTAAAGAATAACAACAACAACAACAACAACAACAACATCTTTATTTATATTCCGCTTTTCTCTCTAATGGGACCCAAAGCAGCTCACAACGTAATATAATACAAATCAAAATACATTTAACATAAAATACAAGACAAAAAATCATACAAAGCATAGTAACAATAATAGTAAACAACAACAACAGTAGTGAACAATAATAGTTGTTTAATCAGGGATATATTTGATAGAAAAATCTTGGGTTGTGTAATGATAATCTTTTGTGAATCATGGTTCTTATCTTTGAGAAGTCTACATTATTTTACATCAGTGAACTTAAATACATGTCAATGAACTTAAATACAATTATTGCTATCTCTCCATTGATTGTTTTTTCTATATCCTTCAAAATGTCTATACTTGTTGCCAACTTGAACTAGCTACTTGTGAGCTCATAGAATGTTGTATAAGAATATCTGGATTGCATTGTGCTCCCTTGTTTTCATATTTTCTTAGCATCTCATGGGAAAAGAGATGTTGGCAAATCTTTGTGAGGTAATTTACAGTCAATAGATTTGACTGCTGGGATTGAAAAGCACATTTTGATGCATCAAATGTTAGATCTCTTTCAGGGTCCGTCTGACCTGCTGATTCCAAAAATGCCACCAGTTTTCTGCTCTAGTTTTTGCTATCTGCTCTAGTTTTTGAGAAACTGAACATATCAGCCTTAATCTGCTTGTCCACAGAAAATCATAAGAACCATATTCTTAGATAGATTCTTAGAGCTGGTGTGGTCTTTCCAATGCAATTATCTGAATTTATTTATTTGTCGTGTCAGGGCAACCAGTCATTTATATTACATTTCTAACAGAACAAAGAAAACAAACAGACAAATACAAAATTTGTGAGTTTGGTAGTTGATTAAATGTCCTTTGACCAGTAGCTGGCCACTTGAAGTGCTTCTGGTGTTGCTGCAAGAAGGTCCTCCATTGTGCATGTGGCAGGGCTCAGGTTGCATTTCAGCAGGTGGTCAGTGGTTTGCTCCTCTCCACACTCGCATGTCGTGGATTCCACTTTGTGGCCCCATTTCTTGAGGTTGGCTCTGCATCTTGTGGTGCCAGAGCGCAGTCTGTTCAGCGCCTTCCAAGTCGCCCAGTTTTTTGTGTGCCCAGGGGGGAGTCTCTCCTTTGGTATCAGCCATTGGTTGAGGTTCTGGGTTTGAATTATCTGAATCATTGCCCCAAATAACCTCAGGAACAGGCCTAAAACCAAGATACCAAGACAAAACTTTTTTGATTGGGCTGTGTTATTGTGTTTGCTCTAACATTCCTGTTTTCTGAGGTTTCCACTTACAATTTTTCCATTAATTCTTTCAGGATTACAGATTTTTCACTTTCATGAGCTGAAAAGCTTTACAAATAACTTTGATAACAGACCAGTGTCAGCTGGTGGCAACAAGATTGGTGAAGGAGGCTTTGGAGTGGTATACAAAGGGTGCACCAATGGCAGAACAGTGGCAGTGAAAAAACTGACGGCTGTAAGTAGCCAGTATGTGTTCTGTATCTGACTATATATGCTGAGCTACTGACTTTGCTTAAACTATAATGGAATTGAAGGCATGTAAAGAATAAAAATGTCACAGTGTACACTGCTAAGTATACAGCCACATATGCTAGGAAACCTATAAGAGAAATTGCATACCAGAATTAGTGCTTTGGATAAACAAAATATCTGTCCTGTAATCATAAAGAAGATCCTTCATTATTCACAATAGACATAAAATTAAAGAAATAATATCAATGTCCTTATCAAATGCAGTACATCCGCATGATGTAGAACTGGAAGTTTCACTTCCATCCTCCTGCATATACATTCTAGTAAAGGTAAAGGTTTCCCCTGACAATAAGTCTAGTCGTATCTGACTCTGGGGGGTGGTGCTCATCTACATTTCTAAGGCGAAGAGCCGGCATTGTCCATAGACACCTACAAGGTCATGTGGCCAGCATGATTGCATGGAGCACTGTTACCTTCCCACAAAAGCAGTACCTATTGTTCTACTCACATTTGCATGATTTCGAACTGCTAGTTTGGCAGAAGCTGGAGCTAACAGCGGGAGCTGATCCCACTCCCCGGATTTGAACCACCGCTTTTTGGTCAGCAAGTTCATCTCAGCAGTTTAATCTGTTGCACCACGAGTTTTTAGTTAATTCTATCATATTTTTCCTTGTAGCTCGCCGATGAAAGTATTGATGATCTGAAAAAACAGTTTGAACAAGAAATAGCAATAATGGCAAAGTAAGTACTGAGCATTTTGGAAACACTATTGCAGTGTGTGATTAGATGGCAACATGTGTCTGCTTTAGAAATACAGCTGGAATGTGGTTTGTTTAGGCTAATTAGCTATAGTATAATGTTTTGGCTGTATTTTTTTCAATCAAATCATACACTTAAAAAAGAAAAAAAATACAGGAGGAATCCTAGTACAAAATATGGAAATCTGATCTAAACATAGAGGTTTAGATCTTAAGTTAAGGCACTGAAGACTCTTCAGATATTGATCACGTGTGATTAGCAGTGCTTTGATCCATCTATCTTTGATTCAAACTTTACATGGTGAAATAATCAAAGATAGCTATGTTAATCTGTGCCAGTGTAAAAAGTTGTAAAAGAATTCTGTAGCACCTTTGAGTCTAACCGAGAAAAAGAAATTTCTAGTTTACATGGACTCTAATCCACAAATTGGACTGGAGCTCACGAAATGAAAGAAATTTCTTCTTTTTTCAGTCTCAAAGGTGCTGCATGGTTGCTGTATACCTTTTTAAGTACAGCACTGTTTATATTTTTAGTCCATGATTTTTTTTAAAATGGGTTTGTGTTATGGCATGAGAGGATTAAACTGAATCAAGACTAGACTTCTTTTTGTTAAATTGTTGAAATAAATACATACAGGGGCTAAACATGTGCATAAGACTTCATCCAATGTGGTCTTCAGTATTTTTCACATCTGATTAAATCAGTGGTTCTCAACCTGTGGATCCCCAGATGTTTTGGCCTTCAACTCCCAGAAATCCTAACAGCTGGTAAACTGGCTGGGATTTCTGGGAGTTATGGGCCAAAATACCTGGGGACCCACAGGTTGAGAACCACTGGATTAAATGAACACAATCCATCAAACCATATGCTATTCTAAAATTAGTTTGGGTCAAAAGTAGTACACATCCAGATGCTGTACTACTAAGTCCTGAATAAAATGCATTTATTCCCATTGGATGAACCTGCACAGTCGATGTCAACAGTGATAGCTGATAAGCAATGATCATATTTTTGACTTGTTTTTAAGAGCCTTCTGGGTCCTTGAATTGTCAGATGAAAGGCATGAAAGTCCAGATTAACGAGCCTGCTTATTTTTTCTCACAGGTGTCAGCATGAGAATCTAGTAGAATTGCTTGGCTTCTCAAATGACTTTGATCAGCCTTGCCTTGTCTCTGACTATATGCCTAATGGCTCATTGCTTGACAGATTAGCTTGTCTGGTAAGTGACACATTTACTCATTGTCAGTATTTGGAAGTTTAATGGTTCAATGTGGTGAACTGTAGTGGGCAAACAAGAGAAAGAGGGAGATAGAGAAATGTTTTATTCTTTTAGCAGTGATGTCTAAACATGTTGACTTTTCTCTTCTGCAGTGGAAAGGGTACCTCTCTCTATAAAAATGATTATATGTACAGAGCTTTCCTTCATTCAAGGCCAGGGAGAAAATCCGAGGACTATCCTATGTTGTAATATATTTTCTTATTCTGATTCCGATAGGTTTTTAGTCATTTTTGCACTCTAAAGTCATGCAAGTGCCTTCAGAGGAGATTGGGATGTAGCTGGAATTTGGTTAGTGGCATGCCTAGTTATACCTACATATCATTTTTTTGGTCATTTCAATAATAGGAATTTTCTTTTTTTGCTTATGTAATGACCAAAAAGCTCTTACAACCCACGTTCCTCCTCCAATGACTGTGATCATGAAGTAAACAATGGAGAGTAGGGAAATGGCTGAGAAGCATCTGGCTATGGGACTATAGCCAGATGCATAACAATGAAGTCCTTTTCTGGGACTTTCTGGAGGTCTTGGAAGCTGATGGTTGTTATTGTATATCTGGCCATAGTCATAGTCTATCTCATCTTGGCAACAAATTATTTATGCTACTTCAACTGCTTTTGTTCAATGTTGGTTATTATGTATTCAATTTTATAGATATGAATGTTAACTGAAAACATAGCTTGATGTACTTCCTCTTTTGCTCTCATTTTTAAGGATAACACACCACCAATTCCATGGAAAACAAGATGCAATATTGCACAAGGTGCATCAAATGGAATCTGCTTTTTACATGAAAATAATCACATTCACCGTGATGTTAAAAGGTAACATCTGTAAAACAAAGTTTAAGATGAACAAATAATCTTGCAATTGTTTTTTTCAGCATGGTCTCTGTTTTCCTGAAACATTGCTGGTGACCTAAGGAAAAATTGCTGTTTTGTTGATATTCTGTGTGGTTTACCACAGCTGGTTAGCAGAAGGCAGTTTCTAGGGTTGCTGTGTCCAAGTTGTCCAATTGAACTGCCTGACCAGTGCAGAATATAGTGGTACTTACCTTGATTGGGACACTGTGGTTTTATTAATGATAGCATTTACTTTGCTGCAGCATCACGCTTCTGGCTCATTTTCAGTTTGTGAACAATAATAATCCCAAGGTCCTTTTGACATGTAATCTGCTGTGCCAAGTATCCCCCATTGTATGCCCGTGCATTTGGTTTTTGTGGGCTAAATGTAGAATTTTGCATTTGTATTGATTGTTATTCAGTTCAGCCCAGCTTTCTAATCTATCAAGGTCCCTTTTAGTTTGGTCCCATTTTCCAATGAGTTAGCTACCCTTCCAAGTTTTATATTATTGCCAGATTTGATAAGGATCTCTTCTATTCCATTAGCTTTAGGACAGAACCCTATGGCACACTTTGGGTGACTTCTTTGTAGTCTGAAGCACAACCACTCTTGACAACTCTTTGAACAAAGCTTTCCAATCAAATACAAATCCATCTGATGTTTCTATCTGCCCCATATTTAGTCAGTTTCTAATCAAAATGTCATGGGAGATTTTATAAACTGAACAAGTGATCCAATCAGGATTTGTTCTTGACAAACCCTTGCTGGCTCCTACTAATCATGCCATTGTCATCAAGATACTTACAAACAGAGCCCTGCATAATCTATTCTAATGTTTTCTTGTTAGATTGACACCCCTATAATTTTTTGGATCTTCTTTTTTTGCCTTTTTGCATACAAAAAGGTTGTCATGCAGGTGACAGTCTTTCTGTCCTTTTCCCCCTTCTTTGTTTTACAGAATGCAACTATTCCAAAGTAATCAGTGTTGTCCATTCTAATCCAGGCCAATTACCAAGCCAATTAATAAGCAAACAAAAATGCTGCTCTTTCTGTTTTGAGTTCATTACTGTACTATCATCTCTCTAAGTCTGGATGGAGAAATACCCTATAAAGTTTCGTACAATAGTCCCTCCACATTTGCAAGGGTTAGGGTACAAGATCCACACAAAAACTGTGACTATAAATACATACTGTGGATGTTTTGTTCACCTGAGAGAACATTTCTCTAAGCATTTCTAGGTCATTTTTACTGAACGTTGACCATAGAATAGTGCCCAAGGACCTAGAAATACTTAAAACATTTTTCAGTTGCATGGACAGTTGCACAAAGGCTTGGCCCAAAAATGTGGAGTGACAACTGTAGTTCTATTTGTTTTTCAGTGCAAATATCTTACTAACGGAGAGATTTGTGCCGAAACTTTCTGACTTCGGACTCTCAAGGGCCTCAGTTAAATTAACACACACCATCCTAACAGAGAGAATAGTGGGAACAGCAGCCTATATGGCTCCGGAGGCTTTGCGAGGAGAGATCACTCCTAAATCAGACATCTTCAGCTTTGGAGTGGTGAGTAGCCATATGCCACTTGTTGGCGTTTTCCTTCTGGTGAGTGAATTGAAGGAGAAAAGCTTTTTGATTTCAGAAAGGGTTTTAAGAATATCTCTGTTGAAATATATCTTTTAAAAAGGCTTGGAGGAAACCAGTAAGCCATATGGCAAGAAGACATCCCAGCTTCCTCTAGGCCAGTGTTTCTCAACCTGGGGGGGCGGGACCCCTGGGGGGGGTCACAAGGGAGTGTCAGAGGGGTCGCCAAAGGCCATCAGAAAACACAATATTTTCTGTAGGTCATGGGGGTTCTGTGTGGCCCAATTCTACTGTTGGTGGGGTTCAAAATGCTCTCTGATTGTAGGTGAACTATAAATCCCAACAACTACAACACTCAAATGTCAAGGTCTGTTTTCCCCAAACTCCACCAGTGTTCACATTTGGGAATATTGAGTATCCCTGCCAAGTTTGGTCCAGATCCATCATTGTTTGAGTCCACAGTGCTCTCTGGATGTAGGTGAACTATGACAACAAAACTCAAGGTCAATGTTCACCAAACCCTTCCAATATTTTCTGTTGGTCATGGGAGTTCTGTGTGCCAAGTTTGGTTCAATTCCATCATTGCTGGAGTTCAGAATGCTCTTTGATTGTAGTGAACTATAAATCCCAGCAACTACAACTCCCAAATGACAAAATCAATCGCCCCCAACCCCATCAGTATTCAAATTTGGGAATATCAGGTATGTGTGCCAAATTTGGTCCACTGAATGAAAATACATCCTGCATATCAAATATTTACATTAAGATACATAACAGTAGCAAAATTACAGTTATGAAGTAACAAGGAAAATAATTTTATGGTTGGGGTCACCACAACATAAGGAAGTTCATTAAGGGATCACGGCATTAGGAAGGTTGAGAAACACTGCTCTAGGCCAAGGTAAACACCCATTTAGAAGTGAACATTTTCATTAATCTTCTTTTCATAGGAAAGAAATAAGAATAATTAAATCATGTTTCTCCCTGCTTGCACCAACGGGCCCAGGAGGGCCTCACCACTGCCCTCCTCCCGGGCACCATGGCTCCAGTTGATTTGTTGTTGTTTTGTTTGTTCATTTTGGCAATTAATGTTTGTCACTTCGTTACTTTTGTTTGTAAACCACCCTGAATCTGTTTGGAGAGCTAGGGGGGGGTTATAAATAAAGTATTATTATTGCAAGAATCTTGAAAGACTGCACACTTAAGGGATTTATTCTGTGTGAAAGCCTTTTGCTGATTTTATTTTTGTTTGTTTGTTTTGAAATGGCAAAAGTAAGTCAACTACGTAACTATGACACCAGTAGTATACAACAGACAATGCAGCTTCATGAAGTAATTGTCCACTGCATGTGCATTAGCTGCATTGTTTACTTATTTATTTTGCTTGCTTAGGTTAAGAATTCTCTTTGTGTATAATTATTTTTGTAATATTACTGTATTTACATTCATTTCCTCACCAGGTTATCTTCTTGTATTTTGTTGGTATTTTGTAGCCATTCATGAAGAGCATGATAAAATTGAATATAAATCAGTCACAATATTGTTTCCTTTCAAATCTTTCACCAGCTTTTCATTGAATGGATAGATAAGATCATGACATGCATATTTCTTGTGCTTTTCTTTAGGTGTTACTTGAAATTATAACCGGGCTTACTCCTGTGGATGAAAATCGAGATCCCCAGTTACTGGTAATTTCTTTTTTTTTTAATTGCATAACTCAGAAAACTTGTGTCTATTTTTTATGCCAGATTAAAGAAGAATAACCTATTGTTTCAGATTATTAGAGTGGATTAAAATTCTAGTAGGAGATAGAATTGATTAGAACCATCTTTGTAGCATCAGGTTCTGTAGAATAATTTAGCACCACTTCCCTGTTTGGATTTTATTATAAATCATTAGGAGTGATCTCGTTAAGACAAATATGAGCATTGTTTCAAGATGTTTGTATCCTTATGTAATTACAGCAATTTATGTTCTTTCTGTGAGTGATGTAGAAATATGTATGCTGGATTTAATTCAGCTGTACATTTGGTTAACAATTAGGATGCTGATTCAATGATGTTTCATGTGGCATTACCTCCAGGCTGTGTATGTAATATCCAACATCTGATTTGTATAAGGGAAGAACAAATTGTGAAATTCTGCCCCATCTTCCTGTTGTAGCTCTTCAAAATTGGGCAATCCTAGCATGGGAAGGAGCCATAGTATGCTGAGATAAGAATATCATAGTTTACATCTTGCTGAATCAGATGGAGGACTTAGAGAGATAATCCTCCTGAAATTATGCTTATGGCAGAGGATAGCTTTAAAGGTAAAGGTAAAGCTTTCCCCTGACATTAAGTCTAGTTGTGGCAGACTCAGGGGGGGGGGGGGGGGGGGGCTCATCTCAATTTCTAAGCTGAAGAGCCGGTGTTGTCTGTAGTCACCTCCAAGGTCATGTGGCCAGCATGACTGCATGGAGCACCGTTACCTTCTCACCAAGGCGGTACCTATTGATCTACTCAAATGTGTATGTTTTCAAACTGCTAGGTTGGCAGAAGCTGGGGCTAACAGCGGGAGCTGACCCCGCTCCCCGGATTCAAACCGCCAACCTTTCAGTCAGCAAGTTCAGCAGCTCAGTAGTTTAACTCACTGCGCCAACAAGGGGGCCCATAGGATAGGTTTATATTTGTTATTATTAGCAGAACTTCCATTTTCTGCCAGTTATGAATATTCCAAACATATTACACCAATTTCCTTAATTCTCATATTGTTTAATTTTAATAGATGTGAGGAAAGGGAGAATTGCCTACCATTGTTTCCTTGTCGTTGTGTTTTGATGGGAATCCTAAATAAGATTAAATGAATAAACAACGTATGTAAAATAAGGAAATCAGACTCCTAACCTTGAGCGTTGTTTTGCAGGAGCAGGAGAATAATGAGGTTTTTTTTTAATGAATATGTCAATCAGTCTGCACTTTTATAGTGCTGATGCATGTAGTACCATACCTGTGGTGGACCGATACCTTTGAATGACTACTCTGTTTCCTAATGCTGTGTAATTTAGAGGTTTTTAAAGTTCTGGCCATGTTGGCTTGGGAAATTCTTCAAGTTGTAGTCCAAAAAGGGTAACTTCTTTAAGCTCAGCTTTATTAACAGAAGCACAACCTTTTGTACTCAAGTTGTCTTTTCCCTCTGTTGTTCCCCTCCAACATTTCCATTTGAGTATTCAATAAATTAGGAGCCCCCGGTGGCACAGCAGGTTTTTAAAAATGTTTTATTTTAGTTGATACATCCCGTCAATTAACAAACTTTTGCCATACAAGTCTTATCTTGGTATACATTATTCCAAAAGTAAATTTACCTTATATGACACTTTATACATTCCTTATATGTGTATCATCCATTACCCATACCCCCCCCCCCATTTTCCCCCCTCCCTCCTGGAACAGCAATTTTAAATGATGTCATTGCATTAATTTAACCATGTGGGAAGTCTGGTTCAAAATGCTGTATCTTGTATCATCTTCATCTATTTTGTTGGTTAGAATAGACCATTTCCTATACCAGTCTTGTTTTGTATGACTATTCATATACTTGCTTTTCCTTTGATTAATGAAATCATTGATTATATATTCTGATAGAGAAGCCCACCAAGTTTCTAAATCCCATCTTGTATTGTTTCTCCATCCTTGGGCTAGCATAGCCTGTATTGCGGCTTTCATATATTTTAGGATATGTTATCTTCATTTGCCTCTATAGTGAGAGACATGAATCTGGCTGTATCCCACTTTAATTCTTTCCCTATTATTTCTTCCATTACCTTTCTTATTTTGCTATAATATTTCTGAATTTTTCTTCAAGTGCTCCTTTCCTTCTGTTGCTCCCCTTCCAGTATTTCCATTTGAGTATTCAATAAATTCGGAGTCCCCAGTGGTGCGGCAGGTTAAACCACTGGGCTGCTGAAGTTGCTGACCAAAAGATTGGTGATATGAATCTGGGGAGCAGGGTGAGTTCCCACTGTTAGCCCCAGCTTCTGCCAACCCAACAGTTCAAAAACACGCAAATGTGAGTAGATCAGTAGGTACCACTCAGCGGGAAGGTAATGGCACTCCATGCAGTCATGCCGGCCACATGACCATGGAAGCGTCTACTGACAACGCAGGCTCTTCGGCTTAGAAATGGAGATGGGCACCACCCCCCAGAGTCAGACACAACTAGACTTAATGTCAAGGGGAAACTTTTACCTTTTTATGCAATAAATTAGATTATTTGGGATCAGTGTAATGCTATGATTCTTTCACACAGCTTACTATCAAAGAGGACATTGAAGATGAAGAGAAGACGCTTGAAGATTATATTGATGAAAAGATGAGTAGTTGGAGTATTGAATCAATTGAACAGATGTATTCAATTGCTTGCCAGTGTCTGAATGAGAAGAAGAACCGGAGGCCAGATATTAAGATGGTACAGGCATTTTGGCCACTTTGTGGCTTGAAAGTGTTTTGTTTTATTTTGTGTGTTTGCTGTTGTGATGATTAATTTGTATTTCTGCTTCTCTTACAGGTCAAGCAGCATTTAGAAGAAATGATGATTGAATAAGTTCTCTTTTTATGGCCTGGCCTTGTTATCTAAAAGAACTATGTTTTTTCATAGATGAACTTGTTTCTCTTTGTCCCTTCAGCATTGAATGTCAACCTGCCATTTTGATGGGTTTTTATATTTGTGACCCTGTTCTTGTTGTCTTCTTTCCTGTACCATAGAATCGGAGTAGACAAATGTGTTTCATGAGTTCCATGCCATCTGAGCAGCACCTTTTTGTGACTTGGTTTTTTCCTCCTCCTTTAAAGTTAAATACCTTAAAGCCTTATTCAAATGTTTGCTGGTAATGTCTATGGACTATTGTTTCATGTCTACTGACGCCCAAGAAGCTACAGAATTAAACTTTATAGATTTGGTGAGCATTGTTAATTACAGAAATGGCATAAGCATGAAAAAATAGGAAGGAATCCTTGTCTTCTCAGGCATCAGTTGTTAAGAACATCTGCACCCGGGGAGATGCTCACAAACAGTTACTAGGCATTGGGAACATGTCCCTCAAAGTCAAGTGTGATGGCTGACCACACATAAGGTATTTAGACTAAATCAGTGGTTCTTAACCTGTGGGTCCCCAGATGTTTTGGCCATCAGCTCCCAGAAATTCTAACAGTGGGTAAACTGGCTGGGATTTCTAGGAGTTGTAGTCCAAAACACCTGGGGACCCACAGGTTGAGAACCACTGGACTAAATAGAAATATAAAAACATGCATAAATAAAGAGACTTTGCATATATACATATATAGCACTCCCTGAATCAGTTTCAGCACAAAGTTGTACTTTGGTGCTGCACCAGCACTCTTTGGGTAAGAAGTTAAAACGGTGTCAAACTGCATTAATTATACAGTGTAGATGCAGCCTTAATCTACAGTAGAAATGTAGAAAGAAAATTCTGTTTTTTCCTTTTTCTTTGTTCCACAAACCCATAATTGTTAGATTTTCTACACCTGTGCATCAATAACATTAGCGATAAGAGGGCATGAAAACTATGTAGCAAAATAGCAGGTTGACATTCAATGCCATTATTAAGTATATTTTATCTCAACCCCATTTATTTAATTTTTTTCATGTCAGGAGTGACTTGAGAAACTGCCCCAGGTGGTGCAATGAGTTAAACCCTTGTGCCGGCAGAACTGAAGACCGACAGGTTGGAGGTTCGAATCTGAGGAGAGCGCAGATGAGCTCCCTCTATCAGCTCCAGCACCCCATGCGGGGACATGAGAGAAGCCTCCTACAAGGATGATAAAACATAAAACCATCCAGGCATCCCCTGAGCAGCATCCTTGCAGATGGCCAATTCTCTCACACCAGAAGCTATTTATTTAAATAAGATGTTTTTAATAATGGCAGGATGACAATATGAACTGCAAGAGAATATTTTAGGGTAGAGTGCTTCTGTCTAACATTCCAACCATTCTATTCCATCCTCTCTATTTTTCATTTTTCATTCAAAAGTCAGTATTCATGCTGATTGAGCCTCCTCAGATCTAACTGGGCTGCTTTTATGGTACAGTGAGCACATTATAATATTTCTTCCTAAAATTCTACTTCTGTTAATCTTTTCCTGAACCTGCTGATACCTCCCTCTTGAATTGTGGTACAAGTTGTACAATTCTGGCTCTATAACTATTGAACTCGCAATTTGAACGTCAGATAAGTGATTTAACTTTAAGGGTCTATTCAATCAATTGGTGTAATTAAATAAGAAGGTTGGTGAAGTTGGTGAAATCATTTTAAGTGCAACTGTGTAGCAGTTATCCAGAAAGTTTGTGTTTCCTTTAGTGTTAATTTGAAATAATATGTATTATTCCAATTTGAGTAACATTCAGCTCCCTGTTTTCTTTCATTTCAACTAGTGATGCTGTTTAGAAATGGTATAAGTTTCTATACCAGGCATGGGCAAACTAAGGCCTGGTGGGTGGATGTGGCCCTCTGAGCACTTACCTCAGACCCTGTTCAATTTCCCTGTCCTCTTGTATAAGGACACAATGGCCTGCCGCATCCTTCTGCCAAAAAGATGAGGAGGAGGGCACACAGCAGCTGAGAGCCCTCTGGAGCTCTCTCAGCCACTGCATGTCTTGCCCTTCTCTCAGCATAATGATGGTGCAAATGGCCCCGTCCTTATGCCAGGAGGACGGCTCAAGGAAGGCATGCAGTGGCTGAAAGCCCTCCAGAGCAATCTCAGCCACCTCCTGTCTCGCCCTTCTCCCGGCATAATGCCAATAGCATAGCTCAAGGATCAGGGATGAAGGATTGGGGCAGTCACCGCATGTTCCGCCTTCCTCCTGGCATAAAGATGTGGTTACCAGCCCTGTCCTTATGCCAGGAGGACAACCTGAGGATGACTCAGGCCCTGCTCTGCCAACTCCTGGCCCTGCCCTCTCCTGGGCCCTCCTTCTCTCAGACCTGCTCTGCCCAGCGCGTGCCCAGCTGCCCTTCCTCCAGGTCCAGCTCGGCCCTTCTGGCCAAACCCGCAATGCAGCCCCAAAGTAAAAAAAGTTTGCCTATGCCTGTTCTATACACTAGCAGTTATATTGGCCAGAGCACAGAAGGAGGAATGATCAGAATCTATTGTCCCTAAAGCATTCCAGTAAAATAGGCTTAACAAAGTTGGTTGCAGGATTCTTTTTGTTATAATTGTCTTTGCTCTTTTGCTGTGCTAAAATTATGTCCAGTTTCTACATTTGCAACTGTGCCAGTCTTTAAAAAGAAATTTAGTTTTGTATACTGAACACAACTTATTTTTGAGTAAGTTATTTGAGATCCTGCTAAAAATATCAACAGCTGAAAGCAAGACAGCTGTGATAAACAAAGCTTAATACTGTGGAGGCACCATAGATTTTTTTTCTCCATCCTGTGAACTATACTAATGATGATGATTACTTATTCTGTTTTGTATGAAATGCAGAAATTAGACCATATGATTCTATCAATGGAAACTGGAGTAAATCTTCTCAGTGGAGAAAAACCAACTTGTTAAAATGAATATACGTGGCACCTTGTGAATTGGCGGCAGTTAGATTTATCTACTGTTGTTTTAAAATTGTATTATTTTGATTTTATGCTGCATATGTTGACAGGGGTTGTTGTTATAATTTCATGTGACTTGTTTTATTCTTTTTTACCGTTTTTACCTGTTGTATGTTATATGTGCACCCTGGAGTGCCTTGTAAGCCATCCCAAGTCCCTTTGGGGAGATGGTGGCGGGATATAAATAAAGATTAATAATAATAATAATACAGAATCAGCAAAAGCTGGCTATCATGTTGGCTAGTGAAAAATGTGTGAGCAGTTTTCTTGTGAAATGATAGCTAATGAGACTCCTTTGGACATAACACATGCTATATAGAAGCCATTTGACATAAATGTCATTAGAACAAATATTTTGATAGCTAGTAGTCTGTATGCACCATGGAGGGGTACAGTGTGGAAAATTGGTACATTATGCAAAAAATGCATCAGTGTTTTAAATGGATAAGCTTGTTCCACTTTTGTTAGTGAGAGAAAATAGCAGTTTACTTTTGTGTATCTACCAAAACAGACATTTTTCCTTTCCTCCGCTCAGAAATTTTACTAGACTTAGATCCATAAAACCAGAATTTATTTGACAATTTTCGAGGACAGAAACATGCTTCCTGAGCACCAAAAACTAGCATTTTCCAACTGGTCGTTTGATTGCAATTGCTGTGGCTCCACTATGACCTGCATAGTGTTACTGATTTGCTCCATAAACACTATCTAGCTTACAAGTGTAAATTAAGTTGCTTTGAGGCACATCCAGAAAAAGTGGGATATAAAATACATTTATATCAATCTGAAAGTACACAGGACAATTCCAAATTCTGTGCCATTTTCCACTGCTCCTCCCCATTTTTCATTACTTCTGTAACCCTCTTTTTAATGCACTTTCCTTTCACATGAAATCCTGTGCTGTTCAATACTTTTACTGTTATTTTCTAAAGTAGAAAACCCTATATTCAGTAAAAGATGTCTAAATTATCTTTAAAGCAGTAGTGGCACCTATAAAACTTTAACACAGAGATAAAGTTCATAGCTACCAGTGATGTACTTCTGGTTTTTTTATTATTATTATATTCAGAAGAGCCATCTCCCATGATAGTGATGATACAAGGCCTGTCATTTGAAAAATGGTGTTTGCCCAAAGAGTTTAGCCATCCAAGGCAATGCTGTAAAACTGCTTTTCACTTGAGAGTTTGAGACTACATGGGGGATCCAAGTTCAAATTCTCACTTTATATATTGGATGGGTCTATAGAAGTGGTTCCTAACATTTTTTTGACCAGGGACCACTCTCCAACATTACTACCAAAAGGTTTTTGGATTCATAACCCTTTTGGTACTAATGATTGGGTTTGGTTTTTTGGGGTGCTGATTCAGAAAATTGCATTGGATAAACCACATAAGCTCTAGTTTCTGATATAGAACATATGCCATCCAGTAGTTGCCATCTGAAGACACCAAGAAAATTTTTTTTTGTTTGGGCTGTGTTATTGTCAGTGGATTTTGTTAACGCTTGTGTAGAAAAAGGAGGGGATTGGGCTGAGGTTGAAAAAAATACAAAAAGTGGAGCCCGAGACCCAAGAAACTGTCCCCAACGGCTTTAACAACAACAACAACAACTTTGGGGGACTAAACAGGGTTTTACAAAGGGCTGCTTTCCCATTACAACTGATGTTTGACAATGGGAGCTAGTAATAATAATTACTTTGGGGAACTCTCCTTCTCTCACACACTTCCTTGCTCGTGCTGCCGACTGAGTCTTCTCTGGCCTGGCCTGGCAAGAGCAAGCACTGGCACCTCCTTCCCTTCCTCTCGTGGAGCTTATTTTAGGTCTCGGGGCCCACCAGTGGGCTGGGGCCCACAGGTTGGGAACCACTGGTATATAGGAAAGAATGAGCAACTGTTCATAATGATTGAAGCATTCATAGAGAATTTCAGAAACACCGCAATATTCAGGACCATGTTTTTAGAAAATGCAAAGAAGGCACAGCTCAGGTTTTCTTTCTATTTTATTACAAGCCTTCTCGGGCTATATTCTTATACACATTTATCTGGAAGTAACGCCTGTTGAATAAATGCAGAATATTTCATTGCTTTCTTGGGGACTTTTTATTGCAGAACTAATGGATATAGTGCCTCTGACTCCAACCGATTTGGGAGTATTGGCATAGGAAAAGGGAAGAAAACCCTCCCACCATTCAGTTATTGAAACTGAGAGCAAACAATTACTTTACTACCATAAAATTACTGGCCAAAAAGGAGAATTGCAATGGTAATAAACTGACATCAAAAGAAAACAATTGTATAAATGGTCATGGAGTCTGTATATATTTCTGCGTAAATATTGAAAACAGAGAATGATAAGTATTCTATCACACACAAAAATAAAGCTTAAAGCAGAAATATTGTGCCGTTGCCCTTGGTATCTGCTGGGATTAGTTCCAGCATTCCTCCTGTGGATACCAAAATCTTAAGTCCCATCATATGTTATGTCATAGTAAAATGGTGTCCCTTATATAAAATGGTAAACTTCAAGGTTTGCTTTTGGGATTTTTCCCCCCAGAATTTTTTCAAGCCATGGATGGTTGAAATTCTGGATGCCAAAACTGTGGATACGAAGGGACAGCTGTATTGGAAACATATTTCTACTCTGGTTCAAATATTTGGAATTCGTGTTTATTAAAGTCCTTTAAAACTTTAAACAGCTTCCTTTTCAATATATATTTTAAATTAAGAACTGATTTACAAAGCAAATCACTAGTTACTACATTTGTTTGAAATATTGCAATTTATATAGCACCCTGGAGGTACATGATTCAGTAGTGGAAGTAAGTGTGCCAATTATTAAGTTCTAAACATGTTAGGAAGTAATTTTTCATAGTCTCCATCCACAACAGAATGTGTGGCCTACAACCTCAGTGGCGCCCTTGTGCTGCTGAATTGCTGACTTGAAGGTTGGCAGTTCGAATCTGCAGGATGGGATGAGCTTTCGCTGTCAGCCCTAGCTTCTGCCAACCTAGCAGTTCAAAAATTTGCAAATGTGATAGGTACCACTTCGGCAGGAAAAGGCAAAAAGATGCTCCAAGCAGTCATGCCAGCCACATATTGTTTATGGACACAGGCTCCTCAGCTTGGAAATGGAGAAAGAACATCTCCCCAGAGCCGGAGATGAGCACCGCCTCTGAACCAAGAAAGGAGAAGTCTTTGCCTTTGTCTTGTGTCCCATTATATGTCTTTTGTAACAAGGCACTGAATGTTTGCCTGTGTCTGTATATATATTGTAATGGGCTCTGAATCTCCACAGGGAGAAGGGTGGAATAATAATAATAATAATAATAATAATAATTATTATTATTATTATTATTATTATTATTATTATTGAAAAGATTATGGCTTTTTATTCAACAGAAAATAACCCTTTACCAATTAACTGATCGATTAGGTTAAACCAGCTGGAAGACTTACTTCTAACTAAAAATAATTATAAAGTAGTTTCGAACCTATGATTGCTTTATATTGTAAGACATTTCAAAAATGTGACATGAGAAGAATTTTATTTAGACCAGAAATGCATTAGGACACAACTGCTTGCTTGTGAACATTGTCAGTACTGAAAGTCAATAACATCACAGCAGCTTTTGTATAATGTAATTAAATAAGAATATTTGGGTAGGAAAACCAGTTCTTATAGCTATTGTGTCCTTTACAGTATCGTTCTAATCGATTTTCTTGATTAAGTAGTGTTTATCTTTATTGTAAGATGCTGTTTGTGAAAAAAGTAGTGTTATTCTTGGAGATCAAAAGTAAGAAGTGTTGTCAGAAGGCTAGAACAGAATCTAATTTAGGGCTCCCTATAGCAAGTGAATTGGATTTCACTCTTCCATGATCTGATTGTTTGGAGAAATAGTTTGCTTGTACATAAATGCATTGAATCATGATATGGAACAATACACATAAACCAGGTATTGTTTTGATGACTACTATAGAGACGGGGAAAATACAGTGAAGATACAAAGCATATTGCTGGCTTTGTTTTCCCAAAGAAGCAATTCTCTAAGAGAGGTAGGCAATGCAGATAATTTCAAGATTTTCAAGAACATAAAGATTTTCCATTTGTCTTGCCATTAAAGTTGGCGGTATATACAGATTCTACAGAAAGTACAAGAGTGGCAAATTGTGTAGGTATAAAATAAATTCAGTTTACAGCTAACAATCTGCAAGTTTATATTTTTAGCTTTTAACTAATACATTTACAACCACAGGCTGTGGACCTTAATAAAAATCTATAGTGGCATAGCCAGATAAGTGTAGTGGAAAGTCATAGGTTTGCTTTTTCTCAATCTGTATCTATCTCTCTCTCCTGGAAAAGATCAATGTAGAAAGCTGGCATTTCCATTATTAAAGGCTTGGGTGCATTCCTCCCTCACCCCCAATTACAATGCTTCTCTTCCCAGTAGAGATTATAAACTGCATTCAATCTGTAGGTGTTTCTGTTTCAGCTGGTCCTCTGATCAACCTCCGGATTCCCCTTTTTCCCGCAGGCCCTTTTGGCTTTGCAAAGCTCTGTTTGTGTGCATGTTGTTTGGGATGAACTTCCTCATAAAGGAACTCCGGCGTCAGCTCATCTCCATCGCCGATTTCAATCTGAAATTAAAACAGGAGAGAAGGTAATTTGGCATTTAATTGATTTTGGCAAGAGTGAAGGAAGACGGCTATTAACATGGCTAGGCACTGTTTTGGTGCTTGCTTTATAAGGTTTAACAAACCCATCATCCCAAATCGATGAAACACAATCTGAACCAGCTAAAAGCATCCAGGCACATCTTTTATACGACCGTAAAACATAAACTGATGATGCTGCATAAATAAATTACAGGAAATATATAAGTGGACATAATCCTTTATTGCTAGTTCGAGGCAGCTAGAATTATTTAACATTTGTATTATTTGTTTTTTCTGTACTTATTTTATATTCATATTCATATTTAGATACATCTTAGCCTACTGAAGTCAATGGGCGTAGTTAGGCAATTAGGCTTAGGAACAGGATGAACATTTACCAACGTCCATAGAAAAGTAGAACCAACTTGGGCTCAGAATATTATTTGAGAACACAGAAATGCTGGGCCACTCTTAATAACTACCATGTCAGACTATGCAGAGAAGTCATTGAAATCCGCAAGCATGTGGACAATTTCAACAGAAAGGAAAAAAAAACATGAAAATGAACAAAATCTGGTAACCAGTATTTAAAAAAAATCTCTAAAATCAGAACAGTAAATAAAGAGCAAAACTCAAAACGGAGGGGAATTCTAGACAAGAATCAGTCAGGGCCACCCAACAAAGGATTCCCCCAAGCAGCAACCAGCTAGGCTTTGAAGCTGCAAGAACATTATATGCTAATCAAGGTAGCCAATTGCAACATTCACACCTGTCTCAAGTTGTCCCACCCTAGACATTTCACAGATATATAAACCTCACTTGCCTAGTTTCCAACCAATCCCTCAACCTCTGAGGATGTCATCGATGTGGGCGAAATGTTTGGAACATGGTCATACAGCCCAGAAAACTCACAGCTACCCAAAAGTACATCTGTTTGCATTTTGTGTGTCACTTTCAGTTTATGATGACCCATTGGTTTTCTTAGGCAATTTTACTTATCAAGAAATGGCCCAGAAGGGGTCATACAGATTAATGCAATTCAACAGAAAAAATGAAACTACACAATACTGCATTAAAACAGAGAGTTAATCTTTAGCAGCTAAGGCCTCAGTGAGAGGACAAGCCAGTCTGAAAGGACTCTCAGACTGACTTAACTCATATTGTGATGACAAAGGCAAGGGAGATTAGTGAAGGAAAAACTGGATATTAATATTAAAAATAAAAAATGATGATGATAGTGGAGGATCAACTGTTAAATGAGAGGATTAGGAACCTTTGCCACACCTCATGAGAAATGCTTAGGTTCAAGTTGCAAGCAATATATTACAAGCAGATTGGAAAGCAGTGGCTTGTTCAAAGGTTGACGCCTATCTTCAGTTCAATTACAGATTGGGGACTGGGAGATTCAGAATTATGACAGAACTCACTTGAAACACCAGTGTGAAGTGTAATTTAGGAACACAACATTCTCATTCTGTTCACAATTCTTCAAATCTATCCTCAAGCAATAACACTAGGAGAATGATATCAAATGTCTCTACAGTATCTCAATTAACTATTTCGGGTGTAACTACAATGTAGAATTAGTGCAGTTTGACACCACTTGAACTGCCATGTTTCAATGCTATGAAGTTGTAGTTTGATGACGCATCAGCACTCTTTGGCAGAGAAATCTACAACCATGTAAAACTACAGCACTAAAAGTGGTGTCAAACTGCACTGATTGTACAGTTTAGAGCTGACCTTAGTCACCCTTTTGGATTACTGGTTCCATAATCCCATTATGGGAGCAGTAATCCAGCTGGCATAGCTATTGTGGTTTACTGGCTGTGCTGGCTGGAAGATATAGGAATTGCAGACCTAAAAAAGTTAATTTTTTAAGCTCTGAATGTTTCAAAGGTCTATAAAAATTGGGTGTTAACAGGTTGATGCCTAAAAGTCAGGGTCACATTGGCACAAGAAGCAAGAGTGAATAAACTACATCCTACCTTTCGGATAATCTGCATCCACAGCTGTCTTTCCACAATTTCTAGGAGGGGACTCTTGCAGCTGGAATACAGCATCCGCTCTCGTATACTACACATGTAGCCAGGCATAGAGTAGATGAACACTGCAGAATGATTTCAAGCAGAAAGATGTAATTTTGCAGAACCCTGAACTGCATTTCTTCCAAAGTTTGAGAGTAAAGATATTTTGTCATATATTGTAGCTAGCAAACTTTTAAGACGGTGCAAAAACTAAGTGCAGCTATTTGAATCCTTGATGACACAGGCCTTAGCAAAGCAACTTATAAACATTTCAGCTATGTATTCAGCTTAGTACACAGAAATATTTGCATACCTATGGATTCCAAATGGTCTCCTTCGTGGGAATGTTTGTAGAGGAAAAAGTGATACCGTGCAGAGTCCTTTGGAATTCTTTTCGGCAAATCTTTCAGTTCTGTTGGGAATGTACTAGCCAGGACGATTGTTTCATTTTTGATATCAATTTGCTGTAAACATTAGTTGGGATAAAGTTTGTACACAATATTATTAATTTAATGCCTTTTCTAGATGTCCTAGTCATCCGCAAACCAGATCAACAATTGGGTCACACCATTTACAGAAAACCCACACACACAGATAGATATCTACATAAAAACTCCAACCATCACCCAAGTCAAAAAAGAAGCACCATTAAAGCCTTGGCAGACCGTGCAAAAAGAATCTGCGAACCCCACCTCCTCCAAGATGAACTGAACCACCTCAACTGGGCTCTCCAGGCCAATGGATACTCCACCTCAGACATCAGAAGAGCTGCAAGACCAAGAACAAGCCACGAGAGTAAAGATGAAGATCCACCCAGAGGAAAAGTGTTCTTGCCATACATCAAGGGAACCACTGACCGCATAGGGAAGCTGATGAGGAAACACAACATACAAATTATCTACAGACCCACCAAGAAAATCCAACAAATGCTACGTTCAGCAAAGGACAAGAGGGATCCTCTCACTTCTGCAGGAGTCTACCGCATACCATGCAGCTGTGGACAAGTCTACATAGGGACCACCAAACGCAGCTTGCCCAAACACGAATCAAGGAACATGAAAGGCACTGCAGACTCCTTCAACCAGAGAAGTCAGCCATAGCAGAGCACCTGATGAACCAACCTGGACACAGCATATTATTTGAGAACACAGAAATGCTGGACCACTCTCACAACCACCATGTCAGACTACACAGAGAAGCCATTGAAATCCACAAGCATGTGGACAATTTCAACAGAAAGGAAGAAACCATGAAAATGAACAAAATCTGGCTACCAGTATTAAAAAAACTCTAAAATTACAACAGCAAAACAACAGAGTGTAAACAATCAGGCACATCAAATCACCTCTCAACAAAAGATTCCCCCCAGGCACTTCCAAGCCATTAAATGCTAATCAAGGTGGTCAGTTGAAACATTCACACCTAGCTCCAGCAGACAAAAGTCTTTTGTCCCACCCTGGTCATTCCACAGATATATAAACCCATTTTCCTACTTCCAACAGACCTCACTACCTCTGAGGATGCTTGCCATAGATGCAGGCGAAACGTCAGGAGAGAATGCCTCTAGAACCATGGCCATATAGCCCGAAAAAACCTACAACAACCCAGTGATTCCGGCCATGAAAGCCTTCGACAATACAAGAAATGCTTAATTTACAGGTGAACAAATCCAGAATCTTCAACAGATATTTCCTTCAGTAGAAGAACGGATGGGCACTTTTTTCATCATCTCCCACACTGTTCTGAATTGTACACCAACCACTGGAGCAGATATGAGAGGCAGAATGAGGAATATGTGAAAATTATTCCCTTCCTATTCCATTGATGGATGCCTCTGGTGGAGGAATTAACTTCTAGTTGTGAAAGGACACTTTTGGGTGCAACATGGAGTTCAGGATTGTTGAGTGTCAGCTCATCACTCAATAAGCCATTGCATGTGATCATGCATAGAGATACCCAAAACCTCAGCCCTACAGATGTTTTGGACTTCAATACACACAATTTTTAATAGCTAATAGGCTGTTAGGAATTGTGGTAGTCCAAAACACCTGGAGGGCTGTAATTTGCCCATGCCTGTAGCAGAAAGCAGTGCAAGCAACCCTAGTTACCTGATACATGTGTGTATCTAGGTTGGAGGAAGCAAAAACCACTGCACAGATGAGTATTGTATACAGAAATATTTTTCCATTATCAAAGGCAATTTCCTAAGCCACACATTCCACAATGTCTTGGCTCCAAAGAAAAAGGTGACCCCCTGCAAGGAACACACTGAGCAATCCCACTTAACTACACAGGTGGGACATTATATTCCACTAGGACTGAACAGCCACAATTTTGCACTGTTTGCACTATCCCATGCCTGGCTTTTTTTATAGCCTGGTCATGCTCATTGTATTCCTGGTTATTGGTTTTTGCTGAGCATTATGTTGATTGAGTTTCAACACTTGCTGTTTTATAATATGATATTTAATTGTGTTTTTATCTGTATTATTATATTTTATTATGCTCTTATTTAAATTGTGTTTTGCCAAAATCGATTGTTTTATACTTATGTCTTGTGGGCATTCTGTCCCATATGTAAACCATCCTGAGTCCCTTCGGGGAGATTGTGGCGGGGTATAAAAATAAACTTGTTGTTGTTAGTCATATTCTAGAACAGTGCAGTGAGTTTGAGAGATCTGCCTTCCAGTGGTGGAAGTGCTCCATTCATCAAAGGTATTTCCAATCAATTTCTAATCCATTTTGGGGGTATTTTTCTCTCTTCATTGTATCATAGATCACCTGTGCAGCAATGTCTGGAAAAGTTGACTTGTGGAAGAAGGAATAAAGAAGTCAGCTTCCTCCAGTTGAAGTGCACACACCTAGATCAAACTAAGAGCCACCCATCACAAATATATCAATTATCCTTGTGCATTTAGAACAGAATCCAAGAAATCCATATGAAGCTATTTTCCATTTGAAGAGAGAGAACTGGGAAACCTGACCACTGATTTCTTGGTGTCATGTTAAGAGAGTGAAAGCATATACTGAACCTACCAGTTGCACATAGTTCAGCTGTTTGTTTTTCAGTTTTTCCAGTGCTTGGAGAGCTTCCTTAGCAATAGGAAATGCCACCCCCTGTAGGGTCTGGTGCTTAGTGTCAACACTGACTTCAGTCTGTACCTGGACACAAAAACAGATATGAATATTCTAAAAGTCATGTCTGCAAAATATTGCTATGTGGAAAGAAGACGTGGATGAGTACCGAGGTCGGAATCCTGCTGGAAACATAACACTGCTTCCTTCCTCAACACTGTGTATTGAGCACCTCCTTCCACAATATCCTAAAATTTATTTTTGGGTGTGACTGGGACTTGCACCCAAAAATATATCCTTTAGGATGTTGTGGAAGAAAGTACTCAATACCTCTTTCTGCTTCTATAATCTGGATTATATGTCTGTGTAGAAGGGGCCTTCCACACAGCTCTATATCCCAGAATATCAAGGCAGAAAATCCAACATTATCTGAGTGTGGACTCAGATAGCCCAGCTCAAAGCAGATATTGTGGGATTTTCTGCCTTAATATTCTGGGACATAGCGCTGTGTGGAAAGGCCCCCAGATCACTCACATTTCAAATCCAAGCATACCAGTTACAATTCTTGTAACTGGCAGCACCTCTCACCTTCCTTAGAGACAAGATTGGCACACATGGTAATCAGAATACCTTTAAAAATCAGTATTGGTTATAATGTGCTTTTGACTTCCTGCCAACATTTTGGATATCAGAAACTGGGGCCCCTGCTACACTGCCACATAACTCAGATTATCAAAGCAGAAAATCCACATTATCTGCTTTGAACTGGATTATATGAGTCTACATTGCCATATAATCTAGTTCAAATCAGATAATCTGGATTTTGTCTGGCAGTGTAGAAGGGGCCTTAGGCAATACCTCATTAATCTTGATCTGTCGAAGTTCTTCTTCTGCTGCAGTCAAAGGGGCAGGTGAGGATTGAGTCACCAAGTATCTTCGATAACCATTCAAGGAGACATCATCCTGAGAGAGAAAATGGGTTAGCAGGTGCTGTATTTTCATCTCACTTGCAATATTTTCTTGTGAAGTCTCTTCTTCAGGTTCTTATCACCAAAAATCACATTTTTACAAACGAATATGCATTTCCACTTAATCATGGAAATGGGAGGCTTTGGTCCAAAAGTATAACAAATTAAGACTCTCTTTTCAAATTACCTTGTTTGTTCCAAATACTTCATCCTTAATATGCCCACCTCCAAATTCTTTCTTCAGGGTTGCCCGGGTAGCAGCATATAACATTTTTTGACGGACCTGGTAGGTTTGAACAGGCAACCTTATTTTAACAAAGCTAAAGAAATAATCACAAAATGTGTGAATCTGTACAAATGTTGCTGAACTGCCTCTCCTAAAACTCCTCACCATAATGGCTAAGGATGGGGGGAACAGCAATCCAAAATCATGTGAAGGATTAGCATTCCCACCCTTAAACAGAAGCTAAATGTTAAAGCTCTTCCCAAAGAGATTAAAGCATTGGACTGATTTTTCTGACCTGACAAGTGAATATAAGGGCGAAGGAATAGACTCCTATAATCTGTCCTAAAAGACACATGCACATTTGTAAGCCACAGTAGTTATGCACCAACATCATTAACAGGCTGCTGCCTAGCAGTGTGCAAATCTTTATGTACGCATGTGACAGATGTAAAAAATGTGTATTGATAAGCAAACAATTTTTAAAATTATGGCAAACCAGTTAGTCTGACTTATTTAAAATAATAATAATAATAATAATAATAATAATAATAATAATAATGGCCACACGTGCAATTAATTGTCCATAGTAGCTTCATCATATTACATACAGGAGAATGGTCTGGAGACCATGCAATAAAAATCCATTCATATCCTTGGGCATTTTGAGAATCTAATCTGTAGAGTATGTAGCATGGCTGCTTGTCTTCAAGGACCGGTAGTACAAAGGAATCATAATCTTCTTCCCAAGATCCATGACACTGTTTTGCGGATCCCACAATAAGCTGCTCTGTGAAAGGACAGAAAGCATGAGTCAGTACACTATTGGAAACAGCAAACATTTATATTCTGATTCATTAAACAGTACTGAGTTCCAACTTGGGAAAGAAACAATGTACAGTGTGGATACCAAAATCCATAGGTGCCCAAGTCCCATTATATATGTAAACTAGCGGTCCCCTGCCACGCATTGCTGTGGCCCGGTCTGGTGATCTAATTAGAAACTGTTGGTTTCTAATATATGTAATGTCTTTATGCTTGTGGGTAAACAGTATTTCTTGCTGTTTCTTTGTCAGTGTTGATGTGGAGATTGTCTGGTTTGCCTACTCTGGAACATGCAACATATCATTGTCCTTCTTTAGGGGTCCCTTTCAAATATTTGATGCTGCATCTGTCATATACATATGTGTGTGTGTGTGAATGGCTGGATGGCCCTTTGTCAGGGGGGCTCTGATTATGTTTTCTTGTCCTGGTGAAGGGAGTTGGACTGGATGGCTTTTATGGCAGCATTTCTCAACCTGGGAAGTCAAGACCAGAAGGGTCACCAAACACCAGAAGGGTCACCAAAGACCACCAGAAAACACAGTGTTTTCTGTTGGTTATGGGGGTTCTGTGTGGGATGTTTGGCCCAATTCCATCATTGGTGGGGTTCGGAATGCTCTTTGATTGTAGGTGAACATCCTAGTAACTACAACTTCCAAATGTCAAGGTCTATTTCCCCCAAACTCCATCTGTGTTCACATTTGGGCATATTGAGTATTCTTGTCAAATTTGGTCCAGATCCATCATTGTTTGAGTCCACAATGTTCCCTGGATGGAGGTGAACTACAATTCCAAAATTTAAGGTCAATGCCCACCAAACCCTTTTAGTTTTTTCTGCTGTCATGGGAGTTCTGTGTGCCAAGTTTGGTTCAATTCCATTGTTGGTGGAGTTCAGAATGCTCTTTCATTATTAATCCCAGCAAACTACAACTCCCAAATGACAAAATCCTAATTTTTGAGTGATGGTCACTCCTTGTGTTGTGAGACGTTTTGTTGCCAAATTTGGTGTTATTTTGTTCATTGGTTCTTTTGTTTATACGCACAGAGCATTTTTATAAATGTAGATATATGGGAGACCATTTTACTTAATAAAGTGGTCTCCCATATTTAAAATGGTAAAATCAAGCTTTTAATTTGTGTGTGTGTGTGTTTGTGCCAAGAGGAAGGCGCATCGAGCCAACCCAGACCAGGACTACTTTCCACCTGGAAACTGATGCCCTCACTTTAGAAGAACATGCGCATCAAGAATAAGGCTTCACAGTCACCTACATATCCATTACCAAGACCCTACACTTGGAAGGCCATCATACTCGGACAACAATGGATTGCCTAAGTAGGTTTGTGTATGTGTATGTCAGCCATAGACGGTTGACTCCATCTATATGGAGGGCCAACTGCATAAATGAATCAATGAAAAGAATAGAACAGAATAGAATATCACATAAATTGCTACATTTATGATCAGTTTTTAATTTACAAAATGGAATAATATAGTAAAAAACATTTAATCTTTATGTTTCATAGCAGTAGGATTCTTAAGACTTTGGTTATAAGGTAAAGGTAAAGGTTTTCCTGACATAAAGTCTAGTCGTGTCCGACTCTGGGGGGTGGTGCTTATTTCAGTTTTTCAGCCGAAGAGCCACTGTCGTCCATAGACACCTCCTAGGTCATGTGGCCAGAATGACTGCATGGAACACTGTAACTTTCCAGCAGAAGCAGTACCTATTGTTCTACTCACATTTGCATGTTTTTGAACTATTAGGTTGGTAGAAGCTGGGACTAACAGCGGGAACTTACCCCTCTTCCCAGATTTGAACTGCCAACTTTTTGGTCAGCAAGTTCAGCAGCTCAGCGGTTTAACCCACTGCACCACCAGGGGCCCCAGGTTATATATTACCATATTTCAACTGTAATACCTCATCAATATTAAGACGCACCCTGATTTCAGTACTAACAATAATGCATAAGATACACCTGTGATTCTAAGATTCACCCTATAAGGGGGAAAGTGTGTCTTAGAACTAAAGAAATACAGTTTTCCCCAATATGTATAGCTATATTTTGTAAAGAATATGTGAACATTTTTTTAAAATAAAAAGAAATATTTGTCTTAAATTTCTGAAAAATTGGAGAGGGGGGGGAAAGACTAAGGTAATGGACTGATATATGGGCTAGACGGGTTTTCAGCTTTTACCTAACCTACTTGTTATGAAATTCAAAATACATGCTAACAGCTTGTATGTTTTCAGCTATAATTGCTATTTTGATATACCAAAAAAGAAAAGAAGCTTTCGTAGACAACTGAAACAGTGCAGCCCACAAGCTCTCTGTTGCTCTGTGAGAAAGCAAAGGCCAAGAAGTGAAACCTATTAGAATACTAATACAATAATAGTAATTAAAAGAAATTTACATATCAACGAAATTGAAATGTTTAATTCAATGTCTTTTTACTACACTTGCACTGCTTAAAAGGTATGACTTTGGTCCACAAGAAACCCATCATACCTTAATCTAGGTCACAAATAGGCAGATTCCTGGGGTCAGAATCTTGATGGAAATCTCCCACTCTTTTATAGACTCACAAAATGTGAATTAGACATTACTTTGCTCTGGAGATACCATCCTGAGTTTCACGGAGACAGGGCTATGACTCTCTTTCTCTTTCCATTTCTCTAATAAAAAAGGGACATCGGGAGATGATCCCTTTATCTTAGCCTTTGTTTTTCTTTTCTCTGAAAGGAAGACTCCCTTAGAAAAGGATTCGAACTTCTATATATTATGACAGTACAATCCTTATGCAAAGGGATCTTATAGCACCTTGGAGAGTAACTGAGAGAACAAAGTGGGGAGTATAAGCCTTCACTGAGTACAATAAGTCTACTTCTTCAAGTAGACATATGTGACAAACCCTGTTCTCTCATTTAATCTCTGAATTGCTACAAGATCCCTTTGCATAGTGGCATTCCATATGGCTCTGTTTTTTTAATATTACAATCCTTATATGTATTAACTTTGCATGAGTTCATGGGAAGTGATTAAAGGATTACCCGACAGCAACTCTTCTTGATGACAATGAGGCTTGTACCTAAGTACACATATGCCGCATTATGCCTTTATTTATGTGTATAGATTTATATACCAGTTTGTGTTGATATGTATGCTTGACTTCAACTCAGGGTGACCCTCTCCTAAGGTTTCCTTGGCAAGATTTGGTCAAAGGAAGGTTGTTGTTGCCTTCCTCTTAGGCTAACCAAGTGTGACTTGTATCCAATATGGCAAACTACACTGACTTTAATGGTCTACAGGGCTCTCTAAAACAAGGCAGAACAGGAAAGCAGCACATACCATTTTGAATAACTATTTTCAAAAATCTGTATTGTCCATTTCTAGCTCTAGCAAAGGTTTCTTGGACTTCTCCACTAGCTGAAAAAAAGTAGAAGAGAAAAGGACAGATTATTTCTTAAATAAAAAATAAATAACAATAACAACAACACTTTATTTGTGTTCCGCCTTATCTCCCCGAGGGGACTCAGAGCGGATTCCAGCATACAAAGACACAAGACAAACAATGTATTGTCGAAGGTTTTCATGGCCGGAATCACAGGGTTGTTGTATGTTTTTTCGGGCTATATGGCCATGTTCTAGAGGCATTCTCTCCTGACGTTTCGCCTGCATCTATGGCAAGCATCCTCAGAGGTAGTGAGGTCTCACTACCTCTGAGGATGCTTGCCATAGATGCAGGCAAAATGTCAGGAGAGAATGCCTCTAGAACATGGCCATATAGCCTGAAAAAAACTATAACAACACAAGACAAACATTCAATGCCTCAAGACAATGAAACAGATACACCGATAAAGGTAAAGGCTTCCCCACTTCATCTCTGGCTCTGGGGGTAGTGCTCATCTCCATTTCTAAGATGAATAGCCTTCTAGGTCATGTGGCTGGCATGACTGCATGGAACGCTGTTTACCTTCCCGTTGAAGTGGTACCTATTGATCTATTCACATTTGCATGTTTTTGAACTGCTAGGTTGGCAGGAGCTGGGGCTAACAGTGGGAGCTCACTCGGTCCCACAGATTTGAACTGCCAACCTTCTGATCAGCAAGTTCAGCAGCTCTATGGTTTAAACCATTGCACCATCACAGCCCTATAAATGTGAACAATACACTACAACATGTGAAAATAAAAACACAGCTAAAATAAAGTATATTCTCAGTTAAGTGGAACCCATGAGAATTCTGGTTAACTAAATGCAGTTTCTGCTTGCTTGAGAGTTTCTATAAAATAGGCTTAACTGATCCAGTATCCCTCACAATATCAAACCATAACCTCGATTGACATCATATTAATATCAAAATAGAGAAATTAAAGGAAAATTAAGACATTATAATAATAACACTTTATTTGTACCCCACTACCATCTCCCCAAGGGACTCGCTGCGGCTTACATGAGGCCGAGCCCAAACACAACAATACAAGCAATAATAACAACAATACAAGCAATTAAAATAAAAACATAGACAATAAGGATATACAACATTATCAATAAGACAACACACAATTAAAAACAGTGGGAAGGCCAAATGTAGAGTTAAAATAGGAAATAATGCTGGGAAATGGACGAGAAGGTGATAGTGGTGTTTATGGAAGGGCATACAAGCAGACCTAAAGAAATGTAAAGTGCTTTGGAGGACAAAGTGGAGGACATATAAAGACAAACTTAATCTGACACTGTTTAAAAGTCTCCAAAGTAGAATCCCCCACCACACTCTGTGGCAGAGAGTTCCACTGCTGAACAGCTCTCACAATCAGGAAGTTCTTCCTAATGTTCAGGTGGAATCTCCTTTCCTGTAGTTTGAAGCCATTGTTTCGCGTCGTAGTCTCTAGGGCAGCATAAAACAAGCTTACTCCCTCCTTCCTATGACTTCTCCTCACATCTTTACGCATGGCCATCAAGTCTCCTCTCAGTCTTCTCTTTAAGCTGCTCCTCATAGGACTTGTTCTCCAGACCCTTGATCATTTTAGTCACCCTCCACTGGACACATTCCAGTTTGTCATCATATCCCTTCAACTGTGGTGCCCAGAAGTGGACACAGTATTCCAGGTGTGTTCTGACCAAGGCAGAATAGAGGAGTAGCATGACTTCCCTGGATCTAGACAATATACTCCTATATGATGCTGGCCAAAATCCCATTGGCCTTTTTTGCTGCCACATGACATTGTTGGCTCATGTTTAACTTGTTGCCCATGAGGACTTCAATATCTTTTTCACATGTACTGCTGTCGAGCTAGGCATCCCCCATTCTGTATATTTGCATTTCATTTTTTCTGCCTAAGTGGAGTGTCAGTGGAATTCCTCTAACCACAAGGACATTGATTTGTAAAACTTTATATACAGAAAGTTGGAAATGGAGTTTGCATTCAAGCAACTGAGCTACATGCAGAGAAAATGTGAAATCACTATAGCAAACCAAATCTGCAGCACTGGCCTTGGGCATATATATTGCACCTGTGTAGAAAGGACTAATTATCTCTCAGCATATAAGAGCTTGAGGCTATAAAGCTCAAATTTCACTCAGAAAGACATGGAAAATATAGGAAGTCAAGGTGAAACCATACAGACATGGGGAAGACTGTACCACCTAAGCCAGTAAGATCACTCAAAATCTGCCAAATATTTTTTGTTGCCATGTATTGGAGTATCCAATATTATTTGGTGACTAGTATGCCATCAAATTAGCTAACTCTTTGTGCTGGAATATGTATGTGCTTTCAAACTGCTTACATCAAGTTCCACAAATTTCATGTATTTCCTCAGTCAACAAGCTCCATTCCCTTCCAATAAAATACAGCCGACAGTACCTGGTATTCTTCTGCAGTTACCCATTCAAAAACTATCCAGATCTGATTCTACTTGGCTTACAAGATCAAATAGCAGTTGTCTAGTAAGAGTTGTGGTCTTTTAAGACATGTACATCCTTCTTACATGCACCATTTTAAAGATAGGAACCACTCATTTGTGTAACATCTAAGTGTACTATTTTAAATTGATTCATGTTTAAGTTCATTTTTTTTGTTTTGGCTCCAGTTCTCCAATCAATCAAGGTCATTTCGAATTCCAGTCCTGTTTATTGGGATCTGAGCTACCTCTCTAATATGGTGCCAACTGCAAATCTGATAAGTATGTCTTCTATTCCATTATTTATTTCATTTATGAATATGTTAAACAATTCTGTACCCAGGACAGAACCCCAAGATGCCATGATAAAGAGTGAGTATTTTCTGGATTTGGTGAGTATAGAAGAGTGAGTATTTTCTGGATTCAGTCTGTCAACCTATTAGAGATCCACATAACTATAACAATCCCACAGTTCACCAGTGAGAATATCACACTTGCCTTTGCCAAAAGCCTTACTAAAATAAAGATATATTACATCCAAAGCACTCCCCTGATCTACCAAGTTTATAATACTTTTTAAAAGGGATATAAGATTTGTTTGGCATGATTTGTTTTTGAAAAACCTATGCTGGCTCCTAGTAATCACAGCATTCTTCCACAAACAGACTACTTAATTGTCTGTTTTAGAACCTTTCTCAGTATCAACATCAAGCTGATTAGAAGATAGTTGCTCAGTTCCTCTTTTTGTGCTCTTTTGTGAAGATGGGGGAAACAGATTTATTGAAAAATGGAATATAATGCTTGGTTGCTGTGAGTGGGAGAAAGAACTATTGCCTGCTTGAGGCAAGTGTGAATGTTGCAACTCGCCACCCTGATTAGCATTTGTGTGATATTAACTGAATGTTTAATAATTAATGTTTAAATTACTGTTTTAACTGTAATTGTTATTTATGACTTTGTTTGATGGCATCAAATGGTTGCTTGTTGTCAGCCATCCCCACTCTGTTGGGGATGTTCCCACTCGGGGGTGAGAAGGGCAGAATACAAATATACGAAATAAATAAATAAATAAATGATCTTACAGCTTCAAAGCCTGGCTGATTGCTGCCTGGGGAATTCTTTGATTGGAAGTGTTAGCTGGCCCTGATTGATTCTTGTCTGGAGTTCCCCTGCTTTTCAAGTGTTGCTCTTTATTTATTTACCTCTGAGGATGCCTGCCATAAATGTGGGTGAAACGTCAGCAGAGAATGCTTCTGGAACATGGCCATATAGCCTGGAAAACTCACAGCAACCCAGAGATTCCAGCCATGAAAGCCTTCGACAACAGAACATAATGCTTGTTTTTAATAACATCATCTGGATCAAGACAAGCTGCTGGGCATCAGAAACCATGGCTGTTGGTCTAGAAATTTAAGTCAAAAAATCAACCCAAAAATTGGGTCAACTAATCCACAAGTTTTTGTGAGTACTGTACCTTAACTCCTACCCAAAAAAGGAAACATCCCTTATCTTACAGTAGCAAAAAGCATGAGCTTTTCCATCCCAGAAAAACCTAAAGGAAACACCAACCACCACCAACCACCACATCTCTGCCATGGCACTGAGTGTGGGTTTTTTGAATGCGGAGAGCGGGAATGGAAAGGAATGACCCTCGACTTATCCACCAGTTATATCAAAATCCATAATTATGCCCCCCAAACCCACCTTCAACTTATACATGAGGTTGACTTATACATGAGCATATATTTGTATTTACAATCACTACCAGTACTTTAATCATGATTTTGACGTTATTGTCACAATAATAACATCACCAGGCATCAACTGCATAGGGAAAAAGAGGCCCATGCTGTCAGTGATAAGAACACAGTTGAATCATATTCCCATCAGGTTTGGAGAGGTCAGGTCAGGAGAAGTTCCTTAGTGAAGTACTTAACTAAGTATAAGCTGATACAGGATTTCAGGCCAGGGCTTTTAGGAGATTGCCTTGCTGTTTTAAATGTGCTGTCTTTGTAAAAACAATCTTTTATCACATCTAATTACATGTTTAAAATTGTTTTAGTGTGTCAATAGCTTAATTCTATGTCAATGTTTATCTTTGTTAGACTTTAACTTGATTTTTGAACTGGTATACAACCTTGAGTCTCAATTCTGCAAAATGAGGATGATGATGATGATGATGACTATATTCAATATGACTGAGAATAATTAAACAAGAATCGTTAATTTTGGGGGGAGAAGGTGGTGGGTGTGAGTGGGTGCCAGAGTGCCTAGTATTGACAGCCAGTGCATGAGTCATGCATAGCAACATGAGAAAAGTATTTTTCTAAGGAACTGACAGACAGAGAGTCACATGAATGTTACTGAGCGACAGCCAATGCAAATCCATTGTCCCCTTAGGGTTACAGGAACCACAGTTTGAACTGGAGGGCACAATTTGAATTTTATCAGCTCTACAAAGAAATAAGATGAGATACGAGCATGGATCTCATAAATGAAAAAAATCAATTACCTTTTGTGGGAT